CATGTGGGATCTTGTTTTCTGTTCCTGTGTTAATTTGCTTACAATAATGGCTTCCAGCTCCATCTATTTTGCTGCAGAAGACAGGATGTCATTCTTTTTTGTGGCCACATAGTATTCCATGGTATATATGTACCACATTTTCTTTATCCAGTCCATCATTGAGGGGTATTTAGGTTGATTCCATGTCTTTGCTATTGTGGAATAGTGCTGCAGTGAACATATGTGTACATGTGTCTTTATGGTTGAATGATTTATATTCCTTTGCGTTTATACCCAGTAATGGGATTGCTGGGTCAAATAGCGATTCTGTTTTACATTCAAGAAGTCTCCAAATTGCTTTCCACAGTAGCTGAACTAATTTACATTCCCACCAGCGGTGTGTATGCATTCCCCTTTCTCTGCAACCTTGCCAGCATCTGTTATTTCTCTTTTACTTTTTAATAATAGGCATTCTGACTGATATGAGATGATATCCCACTGTAGTTTTGATTTGTATTTCTTTAATGATTAGTGATGTTGGGCATTTTTTCCCTTGAATTTGTTGGTCACGTGTATGTCTTCTTTTGAGAAGTGTCTGTTCATGTCATTTGCCCATTTTTAAATGGAATTGTTTGTTTTTTGCTTGTTGAATTGTTTAAGTTGCTTATATTTTCTCCCATTCTGTAGATTGGCTGTTTACTCTGTTGATAGTTTCTTTTGCTGTGCAGAAGCTCCTTAGTTTAATTAGGTCGCACTTGTCAATTTTTATTTTGCTGCAGTTGCCTTTGGAGTCTTCATCATGAAATCTTTGCCAGGACCTATGTCCATCCACTATGGTATTTCCTATGTTTTCTTCTAGGGTTTCTATAGTTTTAGGTTTTATATTTAAGTCTTTACTCCATCTTGAGTTGATTTTTGTGCATAGTGAAAGGAAGGGATCCAGTTTTAAACTTCCGCATATGGCTAGCCAATTGTCCCAGCATCATTTATTGAATAGGGAGTCCTTTCCCCATTGCTTGTTTTTGTCAACTTTGTTGAAGATCAGATGGTTGTAGGTGTGTGGCTTTATTTCTGGATTTTCTAACCGGTTCCATTGGTCTCTGTGTCTGTTTCTGTATGGGCATAAGTCTTAATGAATTCCAAGATGGGATGAATAAAGCTATGTTGGGTTCAAGATCATATAGGAGGTACTTTTATACACATATGTTTAGATTTGGAAATTATTTTCTCTAACTTAGTGTTATGGATTCTCAGAAGTTCAATAATGAAGGAACCTACTTAACCTTTTCTAACCCTGCATTCCCCCCACCCAGTTTGAATTCTGAGTCCTGTTTATGAATATCCTGTGGCATCATGAAAACACTGCTTTACTTAAGTGTGTGCATTTTCATAAAACAAATTATCTCTAAAGTTAATTGTTAAAGATTTGTTTCAGGTCTATCCAGGCGCTCAACTTTGTCATTAAAGTTATTGATACTAGAAAAATAATATCCAGGGATCTGGGTAGGTTGTTCGTGATATTGTCTGAATGGATCTTTTTGTAATTCCTTACTCTGCTGGAGAAAAGTAGAATAGGAAAGACATTTTGGCTTTAGAGACCTGAGAAACAGTAGGGTACAATGTGAGGTCTCAAGTTCTGTCTTGTCTCTGTGGCCAGGGCTCCTTTTCTTTAAAACAGCACTCTATCTTCTCTGGACACTGGAGGCTGCCCACAATCTCCTTCATGTCTTTGCCTCCCTTGTAGGTGAGGGAAAGTCAGATCTTAGGCATGGTTCCCTGGAAGTCGTCTTGTAATTCATATCATTCTTGATGTTCAGGAGGCTTCACCGTTGGATAGACTTCTGTAACTCTAGCATTTCCAACTCCTAGAACTAATACCCCTGCAGACTACTATAATACCCCCCCCCACACACGTGCACACACACGTTTTTTTCCCGGTAGAATCAGTACCAGGAACATAGCTTGGTATATGATATCAGTATATCAGTAAGACATAAACATGCATGAATAAATGTTGTCTATTTTAAGTTTTATGAATTAAAGCCTCGTGGTATTCTCACACTTGTTCTTCCCTCCTTCCCCCTTTTCTTGGATCTGCCAAAATGTTTTTATCCTACCCTTTGTCTGCCATTAGACATGAAACCCTTAAGGTCATAGGCTAGGCCCAGAAAAACTAATATTTATGAGATTTGAAGGCAAATTTTAAAAAACTTTTTAAAAGCAATAATATAGCCCAGATGTTCCAATACCTCTAGATTTAGGTTACCTTGAGTACTTGCCCAAGCCCCTGCAAATGTGAAGTGCTTCCTAAAATTTCTGCATATTCTGTGGCCATCTCTGTGATATTCTCTGTGGGCTGTTTCTAATCCAAACTATATAATTCCAGACATGAAACTTTATTCCTCCTTGACTCACATACAACACACACATACATGAATGCATGTGACATGCATGTTCTGTTCATACAGGCATTTGGTAATATAGGAGACTTTACTGAAGGTTTGAGGGCAAGACAGATCAACATTGTAGAAATGTGACTTCAAACCGAGCATTAGGCATCTCCATTCTTAAACTGCTTTTTAGGTGCCCTGACTCTGGGGAATTTCCACTGACTTCTTCCCACAGACTCCTCTGCTTTGCTCCATTTTGGGTTCCTTTTTTCTTCCTTTCTCTGTCATTTCTTTTTTGGAAAATATTAAATGTTACCTTTTTTTTTTTTCTCATTCAGGGCACTCTAAACCATTCTTTGATGATAGAGCTCATGATAATATTGATGTCCTTAGGTTCTCTCCCTTCCTTTACTTCCAAATGATCTATTTCTCCTGCACAGCTCCAAGACAGTTCCCTCTCTAAGAGAAAATCAGGTACAGCAGTTGAGATAATAATATTTTTTCTCATTACATTTTGTTTTGAATTTTCAATTCAATATTAAAAGGAATGTGCAGTGTTGATGAAAGGAGTCAAACTCTGTAAAATATTGGAAGAGATTTATTCTGACCCCAATACAAGTGAACATGGCCTGTGGCACAGCCCTCAGGAGATCCTGAGAACATGTGCCCAAGGTGGTTGGACCACAGCTTGGATTTATACACTTTAGAGAGACATGAGACATCAGTCAGATACATTTAAGATATACATTGTTTCTATCCAGAAAAGCAGGATAACTTGAAGTAGGGGGCGGGGGGCTTCCAGGTTATAGGTAGATTTAAAAATTTTCTGATTGGCAATTGGTTGAAAGAGTTATTATCAATAGAAAGGAATGTCTGGGTTATGATAAGGGGTTGTGGAGACCAGTTTTATCATGCAAATGCAGCTTCCAGGTAGTAAGCTTCAGAGAGAATAGATTGTACATTTGTAAATGTTTCTTATCAGACTTAAGGTCTGTGTTGATGTTAAATGCTGGTCAGCTTTTCCTGAATTCCAAAAGGGAGGAGGGCATAATGAGGCGTGTCTGACCCCTTCTTCCTGTCATGATCTGAACCAGTCTTTCAGGTTAACTTTGGAGTGCTCTGGCCAAGAGGAGGAGTCCATTCAGATGATTGAGGGACCCTTAGAATTTTATTTTTTGTTTACAGCAGTCATCTTTTTTTTTTTTTTTTGACCATAGTTTAATGGTCTTTTAATGCTAGTTTTTCTTTACTGTTGGGAAGGGACATATCTAATACTCATTATCACAAACTGAATCACCTGCATTATCATTGCCTAAAAAGATATCTTACCTAAAGACAAGGTCTGATCAGTAGGTTTGTAGCCTACTTTGAGGGACTTTGCACACTAACCCTGAAACCAGGCCAATTGTCCCACACAAAAGATATTTATGGATTTTTAAATGAACACAGAAATTGACACTCTGTCTTAAAACCTGAAACTTACATTTGTCTTAACTGAGTTCCTTCCTCAGGAAACTGACTCTTGGGCAAAAGACTGAATGAAGCCCACTAGATCACCAATCCAGACAACAAGATGCCTGGCCCCTCATTCATCATGATGGCTTCCTTACCCTCCCTAATTCCTGTTTTCTCACCTTACCAACTCTTCTTCCTTACCCCTCTCTAATTCCTATTCTCCCTCCCTTCCACTATATATAAAACCTCCCAATTTTAGGCGTTTGGGGAGATGGATTTGAGACTTTACCTCCCATTTTTCTTGGCTGCAGCATTCAGTTAAAGCCTTCTTCCCTGGCAATGCTCAGTGACTCGGTGATCGATGTTCTGTGCAGCAAGCACCAGGACCTGACTGAACCCTGGGGGTTTCAGTGACAACCTACGTGTGAACCCTGAGCTTCATGTAACCTTGGGGCTGTATTTTCCAGTAGGAAAGCGTTTTTAGATATATTGGCTCTGAGACTTTTCCTAGCTTCCTAGGCACTTGGTCTACTTATATTGGAGCCCAGGAACTGCTGTAATCCATGAACTGTAAATGGAAACTTTTTATAAGATGTTCTCAAGTTTTGGTGTTATCTGAGGATGAACGTCTCTAAGTTTATCTAAAAATTTGTATTATTTCAAGATAGAAGTCCCCTTATTGAGATATTATCAAACACAAAGCTGATTCATTTCAAACATTTTGGAAGGAACATTAGAATTATTAGAAGTCTGAGGCGTGCTTCTCATGATGAAGATGATAGGAACTAAGAAAATGAGATGTGGAATGTTTTATATTTTTGACAAGAAGATGAGGCAAAGAGGGTGGTCATAAAAAAAAGATGGTGGTCATAAAAAAAGATGGTGGTCATAAACAAAGAGGGAGACAGGATTCCTGGTACATTTTTAAAGTTGTTGACATTTGTCTCTGACCTTAGTGGTTTCTACTTTCAGTTTACTACTGACAAGTCCAGAGTTCTACTTCATGCATCTGAGGATATCCCGGGATTTCCTTGTTGAAGAATTACATTGTTTCTTCTCAAGAAAAACTCCTAGTTCATTTACATGTAACAAGTTCTCATAGGAGACCCTAACCATGATGGTTTGCTTTTGCATCTTTATCTTACTATAGCATTTAATCAGAACTTCTGGGATTTGGGGGGAGCCTGTTTTACCAAACTTCTCCAAAATCCTCTCTCAACTTTAATTGTTTTTATCTGCATTAAGCTCATTTTGATGTGTTGCATGTTTTACTTTGCATGACCAGTCTTTGGGCAAGTCATTGCCTTTCTTAAGGCTCCCTTCACCTCCTTGTTTCTAATGGTATAAATAAAGGGACTCAGAAGCGGGGTGAGGATAGTATTTAGCACAGACACCACCTTATTAATCTTAAAGGAGGAGTGTGCTGTGGGTCTTAGGTACATGAACAGAACAGCCCCATAGAGCAGGGAGACAACGGTCAGGTGCGAGGCACAGGTAGAGAAGGTCTTCTGACGGCCCGTGGCTGAAGGAATCCGTAGGATTGTGAACAGAATGTAGATATAAGAAATCATATTAAAGAGGAGTGACCCTGGGATCACAAGGACAGTTGCCAGGACACCCAGGAGTTCCAAAATGCTGGTGTCTATGCAGGCGGCTTTCAAAATGGGTCCAACATCACAGTAGAAATGATTGATAACATTATTGCCACAGAACGGCAACTGGATGAGCAGCATCATCTGACAAAAGACAGTGGTGAAGCCCACCACCCAGGAGCTCAGGGCCAGCTGCAGGCAGAGTTTGCTGGTCATGATGGTGGGGTAGCGAAGGGGCTTGCAGATGGCCAGGTAGCGGTCAAAAGACATGATAGTGAGGATCAAGAACTCGGTGGTGCCCAGGAAGAAGTGGAAGAAGGCCTGCAGCAGGCAGCAGGAAATGCAGATTACCGTTCTTGCCACTACAAAGGTTTCTAGCAGTTTGGGGATGACTGTGGTGGTGTACCAGATCTCTAGGAAAGACAAATTACAAAGGAAGAAGTACATTGGAATTTGTAGCCTGGGCATAGCCCACACAATGGCAATAATAAGCCCATTGCCTGTAAGGGTTAATATGTAGATGAGAAGTATTGCTATAAAGAGAGGTGTTTGTAGGCCTTGGATAACAGGAAAGCCTAGGAGGATGAATTCTGTGATTACCGTCCCATTTCTCATGTCCCTTGATACCCTAGAAAGACAAGCAAGAAAGCTCCTGAGAATCTTAGAGCACAGTTGATTGTAGTTGGGACAAAAAATAAGGAGGATTCTGACTATGTCAGGTCCTCCCTCATCCACATATAAATACACACTGGTTGGCCGGGCGCGGTGGCTCAAGCCTGTAATCCCAGCACTTTGGGAGGCCGAGACGGGCGGATCACGAGGTCAGGAGATCGAGACCATCCTGGCTAACACAATGAACCCCGTCTCCACTAAAATACAAAAAATTAGCCGGGGGTGGCGGCGCCTGTAGTCCCAGCTACTCGGGAGGCTGAGGCAGGAGAATGGCGGAACCCGGGAGGCGGAGCTTGCAGTGAGCCGAGATCGCGCCACTGCACTCCAGCCTGGGCGACAGAGCGAGACTCCGCCTCAAAAAAAAAAAAAAAAAAAAATACACACTGGCCAATCCTTCTTTACTGATGACTTGGCTGGTTCTTTTGTCAGCAAAACCAGCTTCTAGTGGACTTTGAATGTATTAAATACACTTGATGAATGCAAAGTATTTTTTCACCCTTATACAACTCTGAGAATAATCATGTTAAATGTGGTTGCTTGTTGTCAATTATTCATATGACTATTTTAAATGCATAGTGTGTATAACAACATATGTACATACACATGGCTGTGAGTTCATAAGAAATTAATCCCTATTCTCAGAGTCTAAAAAAGAGTTACTGATTATATTACAGATACATTTAAGGAAGCCATTATTGTGTGTGGGTGTGAGTGTGTTTATTGAAATAGCCTCAAATCATTGCTATTATATTAGTGGTGAGATACAAAATAACAGAACAGGTGTTTTTCTAAAAATCCACTTCCATATTCTAGTTCAGACTCCTTTGTTAAAGGAATCAAAAATAACATTTAAAACTAAATGAATAAAACTGTTTAGGAAGTAGAGAGATATATTCAACTCAAATTCAAAATCTCAGAACGAGCTGAGTCAAAGCCTGTTATATGGAAGCACCTAATAAATGTATATGGGATAAAGATCTGCAGACTCTAATCTCCAAAAGTGAAAGGTTAGCAAATGCTAAGGATAACAAAATGGGAACTCTGAAAAGTACATTTTTGTCAAAACTTTTTTTGTGACTAAATGTCTTTTTATACCAAGTAAAGTATTTCTATTTGTATATGTAAATTCATAGGCTGAGAACATCCTTTCTGTTCTACTAAAATTCAGCAGAAAATAGTAAAACTACTTCCTTTCTTATTGAGGCTAGTCTTCCATATGGGTTTCCTTTGAAATGGGTAAGATAAATTACCGTGAAATGAATTTCACAATTTTCAAAGTGCGTGAGAAACTTAGCATGAAACAGGCAACTTACAGGTCATTGATAGGTTGTTTCATTCTTCCCTCATGTGAGATAACTGTAATTCTCTGAGGGCTTGCTTAGGGAAGAAAAACACTTCCATTTTCTCCCACCTCTTTTCTAGACAAGGAAAAGATTCTTTGTCTACAATCTCGCAAGCTCCAGTGCCTTTCCACAAAATGATGAGAGACAGAGAAGTATTTGAATTTGCACTAATGGCCAATATAACTGGCTGCGAACCTGGTCTCTTTCTATAGGATAGGTATGGAATTATCTTCATTCCCCATGCAGAGAAGAGTGGCAATCTCTATAGCTCAATATCATATTTCCAAAGGCTACACATTCTACCATTTGGAGAATTAGACCTATGAATTCCACAAGCATTTGTTGAGAGCTTACTATGCTTCAAGTCCTGCTAGGCAATTAAAGAGCTTATCAGATAGATAGATAGATAGATAGATAGATAGATAGATAGATAGATTAAAGAGCTTATCAGATAGATAGATAGATTAGATAGATAGATTAGATAGATTAGATAGATAGATAGATAGAGATAGATAGATAGATACTATATATAGTATAATAATTAGAACATGACTCAGTGAGGGAAAGTGTAGAGTTGTGCACAGATTGTTTTAAAAACACTTAGAAGGGACTCTTCACCCATCTTTAGCAGGGGTTAAGGAAGTTTTTCTAAACAAGGAGAGGCCTAAGCTGAGTCCTAGAGTTCAATAGGAAAAGAAAGTGGAGTAAGGAGAGAGGGGGAATGCATTCCAGACAAGGATTCAGTTTTTGTGACACAGAACCAGAGCAGAGAATTTCACCTGAGCTGGAGCTGGGAGTCAGACTTGTCCTGGTACTTATGATAAATTAACAGTTAGGACAGTTGACATGAGAGATTCATGAAGCTTTTGGAGCAAAGAATCTTGAGTCAGGGAGTTTGCAAGTGTGTGTGTGTGTGTGTGTGTGTGTGTGTGTGTGTGAAGTATGGTGTCAGCCATTCTCTGTAACACATGTACATGTGGATCTAAGCTTTATGGAGGAAGGGGCTGCAGGTGGTATCTGCATGACCTCTTTTGAGATTCTGGTCACAGACAGCACTGCTGTGGTATCCAGGTGACCACGTGGGGCACATACAGGGGACAGACATACTCTCTCTGCTTTTGTCAGTAACATGGCTTGGTTTGGTAGCATGAGGGTCCAGGAATAGCAGCAGCAGTGGCAGCAGAAATGATACCAGCAAAAGTGGCAGTGCCTGGCAAGGGGAGTGGTCCTCAGCAGAAGGAATGCTGAGAAGGTAGAAGTGGCAGGAATGAGGAATCAGGCAGTAGCTGTCCTGACAGCTGCATAGACTGGGTTTTGAGCACATGTGAAGTTCTGTGAGATGTGGAGGGAGGTGGGGATGTCTCGAGTTAGCAGGTAAAAGCAATATTCAGAGAAACATGGGAAAGCAGCCCCAGGAACCTAAAGTTATAGAGCTAAGATACTGGATTAAACACTGCCATCTATATGCCTATTACATTTCAATCCTACACTCTAGACTTTTTTTTTTTCCTTTAAAAAAGTCACAATGTATAGGGTCAAATGGATTCATGCATATCCACCAGGGTCCAAGTCACCAGGTCCTGTTAACTTTACTTCTTACTCATTCTCTAGTGTGTGTCCTTCTTTCCGTCTCTCCTTGGCTCCGGTAAATCATGCTGTCATCTCCCATCAGGATTCGAACACAGCCTCCTAACAGGACTCCCTGTCTCCTGACTTGCTGTGCTCTTTCCTACCCATGGTTCAAACTGTAGCAAGGGGGACCATTCTAATTCTGACTATGCCACTCCTCAGAACCTTGAAGTTAACATCCCAGACTCCTCAGCATGACATTTAAGACCACTGATGATCTTGTCTTACCTACCTTTCCAGCATGATTTTCTGCCATTTACCATTTTTCCTTCTGCCTTCCTTCTTCTATGCTCCACACTTACTGAATTACTCAGGTTTAGAGGTTAGCAAACTACAGCCCTGTTTTTGTAAAGTTTCACTAATACATAGCCACACTCATCTGTTTACCTATTGCCTGTGGCTGCTTTTGTGCTATAATGGTGAAGTTTAATAATTGTGACAGTGACCATATGACCCCCAAAGTCTAAAATGTTTACTCTCTGGCCCTTTATAGAAACAGCTGGCTGACTCCAGCTCTAGTTCCCCAATTATGCCTTCTTCTTTCTTGCCTCCCAGTCATTGCCCACGCTGTTCTCTTCACCAGAAGTACTCTTCCTGACTTTCTCCATTATTTGGCTAAGTCTTGTCTGAATTCTAAATTTAAGTTCAGGAGCCACCTCCATGGGAAGCCTTCCTTAACTTACCATCTCTAGTCCAGTTAAGGTGCTGCTCCTACACACTTTCCTAATGCCCTGTGCATATCTATACCTGAATACTTTGTAGAATTGTGTTCATTGTTTGCTTAGCTTCTGCTATAGACTTTAAGCCCCTTGCAGGCAGCAATAGTATCTGCAGGGCTGAAGCATAGGGCTTGACACAAAATAAGCTCTCAAAATATATTTTCTAAATGATTATATAAATGGATAGCTTGTTGACACTCTATCCCCAGTTACCTAGAAGTTTATGGAAACTGACACATGCACATGTTTATAGATGTCACCGTTTCCTGTATTTCAGATGCTCAAGTCATATCATGACAGGAACTGTTTGCTAAATAATTTGTCTCCAAGTTTGCTGCTGCTTCCAGCTTTTTCTGATGTGAGTTTTGCTGCGTGAAAACCTTTCTGCTCCATCTTTCCCTAATCAGGGATATGCTGGTATTTTGTTTCGTTTTTCCTGTGTTCTAGTTCTTTTCCCAGCTTCTTCAGGCTGCCTGAGTACGGATAACTTTCTTAACTCATTTAATGCTCAATAGCTTGAAATTGTATTGAGTCATTTTTTTCTGAGTTTTGTGGTGCAGTAAAGAATCCCACATTTTCTAAAACTTTTTATAGTTTTAGAAGAAGACAAAAAGAAGAAAAGTATTAACATACTTTCTTCCCTGGATAAGAGCAAAATGTTCCAAGTCTTGTTTATTTATTTGTTTGTTTTAAAATTGTTGATGAAGACCAATTTCAATTTTCAAGACTTTGATTATGGAATAAATTTGAATATGCCCAGTGGTTAGAACTCTAAAACAGAAACATTAAGCACATATAGAATAAGATTCACAAAGAGAAATAAACCAAGATTAATCACTCAGGGGACTTGTGCTAAGAACCAATTTGAAATTCATTTCAAGGACTGATGGTTCTAGGTAAGATGTGGTGAATAAAGACTACTTTTCATTGAGGAAGATCCAAGTCCAGGTCATTGTGATGACTTTTCTGCATGATACCAAAATTGATTTATTAGGATTTACTTTAAGACTTCAAGGGGTCAAGTCTAGCCATATCAATTCATTTTAGAGAAAAGCAAAGCTTTTTCCAAAATAGTACTCTTTCTCGGTAACAAAGCAATACTTACAGCACTACTGATTTCCAGGAAAACACTTCCAGCCTCAAGGTATGTCCTTGTCCACAGTAGACTGACAGAAAAGGAGAGTTGGGTTATAAAGGCAGCACAATTGGAAGAGAAAAGTTTTCTCTTTTTTTCTGCATAGAAAATGAATCTCTTTTTCTAGACTTTAATGCA